CTCAAATCACATGGATACCCGTGCTCACTGTGGGGGTGCAGACTCCGGAGGAGCTCCTACAACCCAAGCGCTATATCATCATAAGGCCTGAAAGCCTGTACATATCAACATGAGGCCTGAAAACCTTCTCACATCACATTCGAGGCCTGAAAGCCTCCTCACATATCGCTCGAGGCCTGAAAGCCTCCTCACATATACACTCAAGGCCTGAAAGCCTCCTCACATATCACTCGAGGCCTGAAAGCCTGCTCACATATCACTCGAGGCCTGAGAGCCTCCTCACATATCACTCGAAGTCTGAAAGCCTCCTCACATATCACTCGAGGCCTAGAAGCCTCCTCACCTCACGCTCAAAGCCTGAAAGCCTCACTCAGTCCAGAAAATATCATAAGCCCCTCGGGCATCAATAAAATAATAGTTCTCAGCCCAGACAACAGTGAAATATCAGTAAAGTCTCACAAATCGATTAAAACGGCTGAGTTTGCAAAAACAGTATAATCAAAAGGACTGAGTTCAAGTAGTATATCAAATGGTGAGGAAAGAGTGATAAAAATCTCCGGAGGGGTTCAAATAATTGGCACGAAGCCCAAGTATGGCAATCAGCCCAAATCATGATAATATCAAATAAGTTTCAGTCAAATACGCGGTAAAATCAACAACCGGGACGGACCAAGTCACAATCCCCAACGGTGCTCTACCCCACGCTCGCTATCCGGCGTGCAAGTCACCTCAATATAACACTACGGTGTGCAATCCGGGGTTTCAAACACCCAGGATATCATTTACAATCATTACTCACCTCGAACCGGTGAAATCTCTAGCTCGCGACACCTTTGCCCCTCAAACCGGCCTCCACGCGCGTCGAATCTAACCAAAATCAGAGCGAATACATCACAATATGCCAAGGGAACAATACCCAATCGAAAACAATCGAAAAATATAAAAAATCTCGAAATTAGCAAAACCCGAGCCCCGGGCCCACTTCTCGAAAAATCAGGAAATTAACATCATCGGATTCCTTATCTCGCCACGAGTTCATACATACCAAGAACTCTCAAATCCGAGCTCAAATGGCCTATCAAGTGCCCAAATCAAATTTCAAATTCTCAAGCCCTAGTTCTTCAATTTTAGGCTTAATTCCCATGAATTTCTAGATGGATTTCACAATAAGAACGAGTTTTAAGTTCAAAAATCTTACCTCCAATCGATTCTCCTTGAATCCCTCTTCAATTTCCTCCAAAAAGCTCTCAAAAAGACCAACAATGGAGTAAATGAGCCCCAAAATCGCGGATGAAATATTTTAAAACATTCTGCCCAGGTCACTGTAGCTAACTCCATGCGATCGCATCCTTGCCTCCGCGATCGCATAGTACAAAAAATTCCAGCCTCCAAAATACCTTATGCGATCGTAACATATGCTCTGCGATCGCAATGCATCAACACCTAACACTGTGCGATCGCAACCTACTATATGCGATTGCATTGAACAATTCAACATCCCCTCAAAATCCTTCTATGCGATCGCATGACTCCCTTTGCGATCGCATAGGACAAAAGTTCTCTGCAATTTTCTGCTGCATTTTTACAACTCCAAACTTCCCGATAGCCATCCGAAATCACCCCGAGGCCCCCGGGACCTCAACCAAAAGCACCAACATATCCCATAACATCATTCAAACTTGCTCCAATCATCAAAACACCTCAAACAACATCAAATTACTCAAAACTCATTGAATTCAAGCCTAAGTTTCTCAAAACATCCGAAATGCACTTTCGATCAAAAACCCGACCAAACGACGTCCGAATGACCTGAAAATTTGCACACATATCCAAAATCACCTAACGGAGCTACATCAACTCTCGAAATTCCATTCCGACCCTCGTATCAAAATCTCACCCATCAACCGGAATTCGCCAAAATACTAAACTTCGCCAATTCAAGCCTAATTCTACACCGGACCTCCAAAATCAATTCCGATCACACTCCTAAGTCACAAATCACTTCCCGAAGCTAACCGAATCACCGGAAATCACATCCGAGCCTTCCAACTCATAAGTCAATGTCCGATTGACTTTTCCAACTTAAGCCTTCTTAAACGAGACTAAGTGTCTCATTTTCTACCAAAACCAATCCAAATCAACTATAACATACCAAATACTGATAATGAAACATGAAGAAGCATAAAATAGGGGAAACAGAGGGGTAACTCATGAGACGACGGGTCGGGTCGTCACCAGTAGTACCTGGATCTGCACGCAAGGTGCAAGGAGTAATGTGAGTACTCCGACCCTGTGAGTAATAAACATAAATAAAGGCTGAGAATATGAAATCTTGAATAGGCACAAAGTAATTCTATAAATACAGCAACCTGAACCCAGCAGCATAGAATCGGTAAATCAGTGAAAACAATTATAGAAATATCGCATCAGATAAATAAGTAAATGACAATCAAAATATGCAATGCAACACATAGACCGGTACTCTCCAGTACCCGCTGCGGCGTGCAGCCCGCTATATTTATTTATCGTCGACGGCGCTCACTGGGGGTGTGCAGACTCCGGGAGGGGCCCCTTACGGCCCAAGCGCAATAATAAGCCATATCGTGGCACCAACTAGGCCCTCGGCCTCATATCAATATCAATACAATACCGTTGCGGCGCGCAGCCCGATCCCAAACACAGTCCAAAATCACATAAGCCCCTCGGGCACAATAATATAGAAATATTCAGCCCAAACTTCATTAAAAATATTAATTAAGTTTCAAGTTTAATAAAAGGTGGTTGGGTTTGCAAAACAGTATTAAATAGTAGGACTGAGTTCAATGATATGTAAAAAAAATGGTAAGAAACCAGTAATAACAATCCCTGAAGGATTCAATCAATTGGCACGAAGCCCAAATATAGCAATCAGCTCAATTAAAATGATAATAAGTGAATTTCAGTCAAATACGTAGTATATTCATCTACCGGGACGGACCAAGTCACAATCCCCAACGGTGCTCTACCCCACGCTCGCTACCCGGCGTGCAAGTCACCTCAATATAGTGCTACGATGTGCAAATACGGGGTTTCAAACCCTCAGAACATCATTTACATCTATTACTCACCTCAAGCCGGCCAAAATCCTAGCTCGCTATGCCTTTGCCTCTCAAATCGACCCCCTCATGCGTCGAATATGATCAAAACTACAACGAATACGTCACAATATGCCAATGGAACAATACCCAATCGAAAACAATCGAAAAATAGAAAAAATCTCGAAATTAGCAAAACCCGAGCCCCGGGCCCACTTCTCACAAATCAGAAAATTTAACATCAACGGACTCCTTATCTCGCCACGAGTCCATACATATAAAGATTACCAAAATCGGAGTCCAAATGACCCCTCAAATCCCCATTTTAACTCTCTTAAGTTCCAAGCTCTAACCTCCATTCTAACTCCTTAATCCTTAGTTTTTCAGTCTAAATTCATGTAATAACACCTTAGAATTGCATTTTAGACTCAGAAATCCTTACCTCAAAGAAGTCCTTGATTTCTCTCTTCCAACTCGCCCAAATTCTCCAAGTCCGAAGTGAAAATATGAAACCCTTTGAAATTTCGCGAAGATGAAATTTAATAACACTGCTCAGTCATTTCCGCATCTGCGGCTCCCGCTTTTGCGGACCTATTCATATGTGTCTTCATATTTTGCTCATCATTTGGGTACGTCCCGAGGGTGTCTTGCTTTACCTGTTCATGTATCTACCCCGGTGGGCGATACTATTGTTGTAGACCATGTGTACCGGTCATGTTTGGTGACTATTGGGGGTCTGGAGACCGAGTTGATTTATTGCTATTGAGCATGGTGGACTTCGATGTTATCTTGGGCATGGACTGGTTATCTCCGTGTCATGCTAATCTAGACTGTCATGCTAAGACAGTCACTTTGGCTATGCCGGGTGTACCGCGGATTCTTCGGGTTGTGTAGTTGTTTATATTTGGGATTTCACATGTTTTAACTCTATTTCAGAATTTCATTATTATGACTTAGTAATTTATCCGTGTTGATTAATTCATGAACTGTATAAAAATGGTTAAGGTTATTAAATTGGTCGGGCTTGCTTAGCAGTGTGTTGGGCGCCATCACGAGTGGGGTTGGGGTCGTGACAACAATAAATAGTTGGAAAGCTAATTCAAAGCTCTACAACTTTCATGTTTTGTGTTTTTCCAAATTCCGAAGACAACAGGGTAAATCATGCGCGGTCAGGTCTGCGGACCAATCCGCGGCCGCGGACGTCCTGTCTGGGAAAAGTGTCATTTTTCGCGTAGGAGAAGGTGTAACTGTTTGGGTACAACCCTACTTGGTATATATACATGGAAAAACGGTATTTTGACAACTTTTGACATACTTTGGACATAATTTAGACCTAAGGAGGCTAAGGAGACCGGTGATTCGACCTAAGGAGGCACACACTAGGAGCAAAGCGGAGAATTCTTCTACGAGTTTTTTGCTTCCTTCTTCCTATTTCCGTTATTGGTTATGAATTCTAGTATTGTACTTATGCATACCATTATGATTATCTAATTTGTTATCTAGAATTTTGATGGAACCTCTTGGAGGATGAATTCTTGTTATGTTTTAATATAATTTAACTGTTGAATTTCTCTACTTGTTCAACTACGTGTTTGTTGTTGTCGATTGAATGGCCGTCAATTGACTGTGCCTATTTATTCTGTATTGCTCGAGAGAGAGAGTATATATTTAGGTAGTTGTTGAACTACATCACTCCTAATGTATGTGAGAGATCAATACGGAGGGTTTAAAGGCGGGATTAGAGATAACGAAACCTTGGTGCGATCGTAGTGACCGGTGAATTAGTGTCAGATAGCGTTGTTTGAGAGAATATGTCTAGTAAATTATTGTAGTTTCTCGAGAGAGAATTATGGCACATAAAGTGCTCACGATCAGTAGAGAATACATAGGCGAAATTGTAGGGAACATAGCGGGAAGGATTCCAAC